ATGTGTGTGTTTATGTGTATGTATTAGTGTGTGTGTGTGTGTTTGCATTAGTGTGTGTTTTTGCGAGTGTATTAGTGTGTGTTTATGTGTGTGTATTAGTGTGTGTGTGTGTGTGTGTGTGTGTTTGCATTAGTGTGTGTGTATTAGTGTGTGTTTATGCGTGTGTATTAGCGTCTGTGCATTAGTGTGTGTTTACGTGTGTGCATTAGTATGTGTTTATGTGTGTGTATTAGTGTGTGTGTGTATGTTTGCATTAGTGTGTGTGTATTAGTGTGTGTTTATGCGTGTGTATTAGCGTCTGTGCATTAGTGTGTGTTAGTGTGTCTGCATTAGTGTGTGTTTATGTGTGTGTTAGTGTGTCTGCATTAGTGTGTGTTTATGTGTGTGTTAGTGTGTCTGCATTAGTGTGTGTTTATGTGTGTGTTAGTGTGTCTGCATTAGTGTGTGTTTATGTGTGTGTTAGTGTGTCTGCATTAGTGTGTGTTTATGTGTGTGTTAGTGTGTCTGCATTAGTGTGTGTGTATTAGTGTGTGTTTATGCGTGTGTATTAGCGTCTGTGCATTAGTGTGTGTTAGTGTGTCTGCATTAGTGTGTGTTTATGTGTGTGTGTGTATGCAGGTGAATGTTCTTGATGACAGCTTTGATGTTCATATTTGAGTCATTTAACATTCACTCAGTCATTCTCCTTCAGCTTAGTCCCTTATTCATCAGGGGTCGCCACAGTGGAATGAACCACCAACTATTCCATTTATGTTTTACACAGCGGATGCCCTTCCAGCACTGGGAAACACCCATACACACTCATTTTTACACATACACATCACAATTTAGACTACCCAGTTCCCCTATAGCGCATGTGTTTGGACTGTGGGGGAAACCGGAGCACCCGGAGGAAACCCACACCAACACGGGGAGAACATGCAAACTCCACACAGAAACTTCTTGCTGTGAAGTGACAGTGCTGACCCCTGAGTCACTGCGCCACCATTTCTGCTCATGACAGTGTTAATAACTCATCTCTAATCACTGATGTGTTTCCTCTTCTCCATGATGACAGTAAATAATATTAGACTAGATATTCTTCAAGACACTAGTGTTCAGCTTAAAGTGACATTTAAAGGCTTCACTAATTAGGTTAATTATGGTAAAGTTATTGATCATCAGTGGTGTGTTCTGTAGACAAACAAATAAAAAATGAAGGGGCATAATAATATTGACCTTACTTATGTTCAAATGGCTTTTATTCCATTCAAGCTTACATAAATTAGACTTAATAATAAACCCTCGCTCTGTTAAACAGCACATATTAAAAAAAAGAATTAAAACTTCAGGTTAGCATTGATCATTTTGTTTCAGATGACAAGCAGGTACAGCAAACTCATGAGTGTTTCAGTCCTGCATTAATGCTAATACTCCAGCAAAATACAGTGAATAAATACACGATCGCTTCATCTTCTGCATTTGAAATGAATAACAGCGTGTCTGCCGGGTCTTAAAAAGTCTTAAAATGTCTAAAAGGCTATACTTTATGCCTTAAAGTGACTTAAATCTAGTGAAATATTGTGTTGCAGGTCTTAAATCTTGTTTAGCATGTATGGCTGCCCAATCTGGCCATTAACACTAATACAATAACCAACAATCACCAATCTCAATTCAAGAGTTCTCCCTCAGCTGATGACTGATTATAAAGCGTGTTCGTCCCTGAGCTCATGAGATCCTTGAGCCCGGGGCTCCCTCCCGTTTGCAGGGTGAGAGTGGAGTTTGAGCTGTGGTAGATGTGGAGAACTCCCCTGCTGTAGTAGCTGATGAACAGATAGTGATCGCTCTTCAGAGAGAACTACTGATAGGAGCATGACTGTGATGCCGGATTAGTCAATTAACTTAAGCTGCATGTTTTTGGATGGAAGGAGGAAACCGGGGAAATGTCAGCTGGCTTGGTAAGGACTAGAACCAGTGAGGTTCTTGCAGTGAGGCAACCGTGCTAACCACCGTGCCACCCATCTAGGAAAGGAGGAGGAGTAGGGGTGGAAGAGGGGATTCCTCAAGATGAAGATGGCTGTGATATGCAGATCAGTGTGTTAATAGTGGCTTAGGGATCGTCTGATTGGTGGATCATACATTGGATAATGCAGCACCGGCTGTGATCAATCATAAGCATGTGATCCTCTCGACATTACTTTATAATTAAACTTCACTAAAACTTTTAAGTTTTAATTTAAACGCATTTTAACTCTGTTTACCATCATGATTTAATGACTTTCCATTACAGCAACATTTGTTTAAACATTCTCCATGTATCTACTGCTGAGGACACCGACCTGACCTGTACGTTATCTTATATTTAGAAAAACCCTTAGCATTCAGCCATGCATAAGTCTAAAATTTCATTCATAATGTCTTAAGAAGGTCTTTAAAAGTCTTAAATTTAGCTTGGTGAAAGCCTGAATAAGTGACTCTCACATGCTTTAACACAGACTGCTGTACAGGTGTGCTGTATATC